AGAAAAATGGCAAATTAGCAATGTCACACAGCGCAATTAATACTTTTGCGAAGATTTCTTTGCTAACCTGTATCCCACCATCAAAAAGATAGTCAATATAAATTGTTTTACTTCCATCAAACCCAGGAAGTGGACTCGAATCCATTATTCCATGCTTTATTTGCCCATTTGGAGGCTGAAGGGCGTTGCAACCAGCTTTCTTTTCACAAGTAAATTTCTCGGTACATTGTTCACAGATCGCATGACCACATCCAGACAAGATCACTTTAGGGTTATCGTTAGTAATTGTTGTCGTGCAAAGACCACATTCACCCACTTCTGGTAGTACTGGCGTATTCTTGTCGACTGAAAAAAGTGTAAAATTTCTAGAATCAATTCATTCAAATGTGCAAAATGATGGAGTCCGTTATTTCAACAATTATTAATCGAAATACGTACGAGCAGGGTTGACATTATTCATTTACCTATGATTTACTCAGTATAGCAAAATTACACAGATATTACCTGGTGTTTCTTTTGTCGCTGAATTGTTGTCTGATGTTGACAAACCCTGCATCATATTTGCCAAATTGTCTACGTCGTCCGACTCAATCTTTGAGACAATTTTCTCTGATGGCTTCTCATTTTCTGGGGGAAATTGCTCTTCGCTAAGGTTCTTTTCCTTTTTCTGTACTTCTCTAGAGTTATCAGTTGTGCTTTGGTTAGTGTCTTCGTCACTCATTTCGACATTACACGTCTTCAATAAAGATTCTGTGTCATTCTTTTGCTTTTCAACTACTCGTGAACTGGATTTGTTGCCATCACCAATGATTCCTCCTTCCTGTTTACTTTGCTTAGTATTGGTAGCACTGATGGAATGGCTTGAATTATCTGACTGCAGTTCGCCATTTGTTGGTCGGCATTCATCTGGTGCGTCAATTAATACAATACTCTCACTTGAACTACTTTCATCTGCTTTATCATCGACTGAATTTGTCTTGTTGATCTGCTGTTCATCTTCTATGTTAAGAACCACAAACGACCCCATCGATGTGCAATTAGCTGAATCATTGATTTGATCGAGATCATTATACAGATCTGTTGAGTTTTCGTTGCCTTCTTCACTGTCTTCATTATTTTGGAGCTCTTCCTGGTCTTGCTCATCGTCTTGCTTGGTGTTGTCGTCACCCACGCTCTGTTCCTGGTCTTGCTTGTCACCTTGCTTAGTGTTGTCATTATCCACGCTCTGTTTCTGGTCTTTCTCATCTTCTTGATTGGTGTTGTCATCACAAACGTTCTGTTTCTGGTCTTTCTTGTCACCTTGCTTGGTGTTGTCATCACCAAAACTCTGTTCCTGGTCATTCTCATGGTCTTGCTTGGTCTTGTTATCACCACTGCTCTGTTCCTGGTCTTTCTTGTCAGCTTGCTTGGTGTTGTCACCACCCACGCTCTGTTCCTGGTCTTTCTTATCATCTTTCTTGGTGGTGTCATCACCAGCGCTCTGTTCCTGGTCTTTCTTGTCACCTTGCTTAGTGTTTTTATCACCAGCGCTCTCTTCCTGGTCTTTCTTATCACCTTGCTTGATTTTGTCATCACCAGCTTTCTCTTTCTGATCTTTCTTATCGTCGTGCATGGAGTTGTCATCACCAGCGCTTTCTTCCTGGTCTTTCTTATCGTCTTGCTTAGTGTTGTCATCACCAGCGCTCTCTTCCTGGTCTTTCTTATCGTCTTGCTTGGTGTTGTCATCACCACTGCACTGCTCCTGGTCTCTCTTATCACCTTGCTTGTTTCTATCATCATCATCACTGCTCTGTTCGTGGTGTTTCTTATCATCTTGTTTGCCGTTACCAGTGATCATCTGTTCCTGATCTTTCCTATCTTTCCGCTTGGTTCTATCATCATCATCACCCTGTTTTTGGCCTTTCTTATATTCTGGTTTGGTGCTGTCACTGCCACTGCTCTGTTCCTGTTTTTTATTATCTTCTTGCTTGACACTTTCATCAGCACTGCTCTGTTCCTGTCCTATATTACCTTCTTTACTTTGTTCCCCTTTGTCTGGCAATCCTCCAGTTTCCTGTTGATCTTCTTTTCTCAACTTTGGAGACCTTTCTGAAGGATCTTCTAGATTTTTACGCTTCATACAATGTTCATTCGTGTTCTTTTCGTGCAGGTCATCTGGTTCTGCTAAAGAGATTTTATTGCCTTCAATTTCACACTTAGCTGCAAGATTTAGTCCTTCAGTAGTCACACCAAGACCTGGTGGGCGCTGAGTTTTCTCTGGCTGTGAATGATTATAGTTGTTGCTTTGATCTAATGATAATTTTAATGAAGCTTTCTCAGTTGAGGCATCTAAATTTGGTGACGATTTGCCCTTTTCAGAAGGGACACCGGTCTGTTCTCTCGAGGGAAGAACTCTTTTAGCATGGCCAGGGCTACTGAAGTTCACAGCAAGACTAAGGTTGCTTGAGGCATGGCCAATAGCTCCACGTCCTCTACCTGCAGTTTTAACTTCAGATGTGCTCTTTCCCTGATTTTTTGATGGTCTTCCTCCTTGAGATGCATTATTGGGTCCTTTTTCGATTTGCATTCCATCTGAAGGAGATTTCTTCTTTTCGTTGTCTTTTGGTTCTTTTGCCGAATGCTTTCTCTCATTTTTGTCGATATCTTTCTTATCTTCTCTGTGTGTCGTTGTTTGACGGTTCTCAAACCCACTTTCGAATGACGAACCTGATGCAGAATCCTTAAATTCATTTTGTAACAACGTTTCATTCTCAACATCTTTGACTTGCTCCGCTCTCTTCATTGCAGCAGCGGCTGTATGGCTTGCTGGATTCGGTTTGTTGCTTCCACGTGATGCACCTTTTGATGAAACTCTATTTTCTTTCTTTCCTTCATCCCTCGTTAAAAACGGCTTTCCGCTATCACCAGGAGGATAGGATAAAGATGCTGGAGTGTTGACATTTGGTGTACGTTCTCTATTATCAATAAGCTGCTTTTTCACATATCTTTTATGGAATTCTCGTCTGAACGCATCATTGGTTGGGGTGTCGATGTTAACAAAACGAATATCTCTTAGCTGATTTTGGGAGGTGGCTTCACAGCTAAACATCTCTGCTGCCAAAAATAAGACTTCTGCACAAATCTCTTTAGGTACTCCAAATATTCCTGAGCTTATAGCAGGAAGGACGATGGACCTGAACAAAATAAATGTAATGAGAGAAT